CTTGCTGGGGGACAGCTCTGTGTCATCACTCTGGGGCTCCCATGTGTTGACTGCAGAAAACGCAGCACAGGTTTGCTTTGGCCTGGCTGTGCTTCCGGGGAGAGAAGCGGAAGAACTGGGGTCCTGAGACTTCCCAAGGAGTAACCTCTTCGTGCTTCCATATTCCTGGCGGCTTGGGGGGTCGTGCAGGGGCCCAGGAGCCTGTCTGCTCAGAGAGGTGACACCCACATGAGGCACACGCCACCTACTGGGGTGGCACTTCTGAGATCCTGTTTTGACCAAAATAATGGTCATTCCAAACTGGGCCAGCTGGTGACAAACGCCGTGAGTGGTGCCGACTGTCCTGGGCCAGGAGCCACAGTGATGCGTCCTCAGGCTCGGGCGTGTCCGGTCCTTGCAGAAGCTGTGCGCCAGGCCGAGCTGTGGCAGCCTGCTGTGTTCAGCTGTGGCTTCAACTTGCCTGAAACCCTGGAAACCGTCAGAACCCAAGCCCAGTATAGGACCCAGAGGTGACGCAGAGAGCTGGGATGGCCACTCGCTGGAGACCAGGCAGCGGTGGCTCCGGGCAGACGGGGCTGTGTGGGGGCCGGGCCCCTCCCCCGCCTCGCGGGTTCTGGCACTGGAAAGGTGGCCACCTTATCCCTTGTCTGGTGCAGCTGGTGAGGATGGCATTCGGTCCCCGTTCACCCCGAGAAGATCCTTAGAAACCGCCCCACTGTGTGTAACCAGCTTTTTACCCACGCAGCCACCTGTCTGTATGTGGCTGGGGAAGAATCTAGAGAGGAGTGACAGCAGGTGGCCTCGGGTCCCCGAGTGCTGCCGGAGCAGACGCCAACGGCAGCGCTGAGTCCGGGCTGCCTGGGCCCGACGTCTCTGAAAACCCTGGGGTCACAGCACTGCCTGCAGGTGCCTTGTGCCTGCTGGCCCCGGACAGCCAGCTTGTGTGACAACTCGGCCGGGGCGTCCTGTCCCCACTGCAGCACTGCACTGGAGAACCCTTTCTCTTCCACGCAAAAGCCTGGAGCAACAGCGGACAGCGAGGGATCCCGGCCGCAGCCTGAGCCACGCACCGCTGACCGCAGGTGCAGGAAGGCAGGAGCGGTTGTCCTTAGGCGGTCATTCTCGCTGAGTGACCCTGCACTGCTGTAGTTAGGGAGGCAGAAACTCCTAACAGGACGGCGCCAGTGACCAGCTTGTGGCCGAGGACTTGGGCCTTGGCATCTGGGCCACCACTCTGCTTGAAGGCCGCTGTGGCCGAACGGCGAACAGCAGGCAGTGTCCGGCCCCCACCAGGGGCCGGGGCACTCACTGCTCCTCAGGGGACTTGCTGGGCCACACAGGAGTTGTCTCTCTCGCTCTGTCCCTAACCCAGCAGGTGACGTAAGGGGCTGGCCTGATGCTTGCGGGCAAGCTGGCGTCACCGTCCTGTTCCAGACGGCAGCAGGGACCCTGGCGGTCCGCCTGGAGACCCCTGGCTGGTCCCCTTCTCACTTCCGTATCAAGTAGGTGCTGAAGACTTCGCGAAGCCCAGGCTGTTTGGCTTCAATCCTTGGGAGCAGCGGCCAGAAGCTGCCTGGGCCCTGTCCGTGTCCATCTCCTGCACTGTCTCGACGGTCTGTTACCGCTGGATCTTACACTCATATCACTACCCCTGAGATCCGTACTTCCGGATATTAGAGAAACATTATTTTAGATTTTCTTACCACCTATTCAAAGTCTGCATGCACTTTGTTACAGGATAAAGCAGCCAGGAGACGCTCCAGTCGCTCCGTGGGGTTGCAGGAGAAAGCTTGCCGTCTCTGTAAACGCGTGAATGGGACCCACAGCCTCGCTGAGCGCTGGCTGCTTCCCCCTCCGTGTTTGCTGACTTAGCAGTCACAGGCCGGTTCCGCTGATGGTGAAGCTGCATCGTCCCAACAGTGTCTTTTAATAAAGGCTCCCGGTGAGCTGGCAGGGCGGGGCCGGCCCAGCAGCCCGGACGTGCACCGAGGGCCTCCAGGGAGGTGCACTGTGCGGCCGGACGGGCGTGTGAATGCTCAGGGGCCAGGAGCCCTATGACGCACACCACGGGATGTGTTTGGAGCATGCCTGCAAACTTTGCGTGCAGACGATCTGCTGGTGAAGAGAGGACGCCACCAGGCCATGGAATGAGCCCTCCGCAAACCGCACCGGAGAGCGCTCTGCCCCGGCGGCACCATCGACAAAGTTCCCACAGAACGCTCTCCCTGGAGTGCTCGGCTTGCACAAGGCGCCTGGGCTGTGGAGCGGGCGGTCCTGGGCGTCTGCGTGCAGCCGTCAGCTCCCCTGCACTGCTGCGGCGGGCTGTGGTCTCCTTACAACTCGGACTGTGCTGAGACGTGGGTCCCCGTCGCCGCTTTATGTCCCTGGTGGCTCTCCCCACGTGACTGTCCAAGCTGGGGTCTGACCTGGATGTCGAGAGCATGTGCCGGGTGGAGTGGAGCCGCATGCCTGCGGCGAGTATGAACGGGTGCCGGAAGCCCCCACGCGGAGGCTGCTGCCCTGCAGGGAGACAGTCGGCAGGGGTGAGCCGAGCTCCGCAGACTCCTGTCCACGGTGAAGCCAGCAAGATGTAAGGCAGAGCGAGCGGCCCGAGGAGCGTGTCTGTGTCACTGGCTTGTCTTGGCAAACAGTACAGCAGGCACAAGCGACACCGTGCACTCGCTCACCGCTGGCAAAGGCCCGCCTGCAGAGAGCCGTGTGCGCTCTGCACCGCCTGTCGGTGTTTCTGTGGATGCACAGGGTTTGGAAGCCTCCAGGTCTCGTGTTGCCACTGTGAGAAGTGCCCTAGGGTGGTTGTCCAGCTCCATACCCCAGCTGCTGGGGCCCTGGGGTGGACATGCTTGTCCGTGGGCTCTGGCACCTGACGGCGGTGCGGCAGTCGGGATGCGGCACGGCCAGGTCTGGCGAGGACAGCTTCCTGAGCCCGGCACCTGCTAGTGCGCGATGGCCGGGCTCCGGCCCAGCTCGCGTCTCACTCGCTTACTTGCAGCCATCACTGTGGCGTGTTAGCCGAGGGCGAGGAAGCCAGAACGCTCGCTCACGGTTGGTTTTGTGCCAGGAGGGAGAAACAGTGTTAGAAGTCTGCAGTGGGTCAGATGTGTAAATGATGAGTGACTCATTGGTTCAGTCGGGACAGGACAAGCCAATAAACGATGGGAGGGAGGGAGGGAGAGGGCGGGTGTCCCCCTGTGGCTTCCAGCAGGGTGCCGAGTTCCCTGACTGTAAGCTGAGGGTCTGGGCTGTGGCTGCGGCCTCCGCGCTGGCCCTGCATGGCTGTTGGACTGCAGTCAGTTTGCCTTCTCTGCCTGTTCCTGGCCACAGAGCAGTCTCAGCAGGGCTCGCCTGAGCTCCACCAAGACGGAGATGCCAGAAGCAAAACCCGCAGTCCATGATGCTCTCCTTGGGGGATGGAGCGATGGCCTCAAGTCCATGGGCTTTGAATTTGTAGAAAAATGTAAATACCGTGGGCACCAGACAGGGCTCTGCAAAGACACCACGGCCCCCATGCCAGCTGCGGGTTAGAGATGGGAGTGGGACAGTGAAGTTCTTCGTAGGGACACCAGTCCCTGTCGTTAAGGAACCGCGGAGGAAGTGACCCTGCTCCCATCAGGACAGTCCTCCCGATGGGTGTGGCAGGCGGCAGGTCTCTCCCCACACTCTCGTGTCCTAAGACAATTAAAAACCTGCACTCCCTTGGTTCTGCCCAGGGGGGTGCTGCCTGCACCTGCCACCAACCTTGGCCACTTTGCTCGTCGTGTGTTTGGAGCCAGATCCAACCTAGCAAAGCTGGATGCCGGTGGGTGCCTTCCTTGGGGGGGGGGTTCCAGGAGAGGGAAGGGGTGTGTGGTCAGGACGTGGGTCGCTTCTGCGTCGGGTGGGGAAATGACAGGAAGCGGTGCGTGTCCCTCAAGGTCATTTCTGAGTGTGGGGACATGGAGGCAGCCTCTGACTGCTCATCTCCTGATTCGTCATGTTTGGGGTTCTCCAGGGTGGCGCTCTTCACCCTCGGAACCACCCAGGAGGACGGCGCTCTCACGGAGAGGTAGGAGGCCTGCCCAGACTCCACAGCACGTGGGCTGCAGCGCGGGTCCCCCAGAGATGCCCAGCTACTCACAGGGACACCCCCAGGGCCCCTCCCACACTCCTTGTCCCACAAGTGAGCCAGAATTGGTCCCCAGTACATGATGGTCCCTTAGGCAGAGACAGCATCTCTCTTCGGGTGTGGTAAACACTTAGTGCTACACGTCTACAGCTCAGTGGCTTCCAGAACCACAGCAGGGTGGGTGGGGCTCCCGCCGGGCAGCACGTGGCCACCTCCAGGACAAGGACGTGCACCAGTGCCCTCCGCCTCTCAGAGAACTCCCCGCCTTCTCCCCTCCTGGGTGTGGGTCTGGCCTCTGGGCCGACAGCAGCCTGCCCACTGCCCATTACCCCACGGGGCACCCGTGCTTGCTAGCCCTGGGCTCGGTCAGAGGGTCCCCAGTCCTGGTGGCTGCCGCCGCAGTGTTTTATAAAGCAGCCCTGGCTGTGCTGTGACTGCAGGGGGCGCCAGTGGGTGTAAGGCCTCACGTGTCGCCACACGACGCCCATGATTCTTGTGCTTCACCGTCAGTTTCTTTAGGGATTTGGGCCTGAGCGTGGGAACTCAGTGGTCAGCCTCCCAGCACCTGTCCCCGTGTCCCCAGACACCAGCCCTCACCCCTGGGCAGCTCCTCCTGCAAGAGCACCGACCACAAGGCGGAGGTGCGATGGAGAACGGAGGGGGCGTCCGTGTAGACATGGGGGCCAGGACTCTGCGTGATTGGGTGTTCTTACTAAAGCCCCTTTCACTGTCTGGCCATCAAGGGTTACGGAACACTGCACCGGAGGGTGAGAGGGACACCCCTTCCCTCCCCCCATCAGACGGGCCTCACCCTCCAGCTCGCGCCCATCCACTCACCCACGCCCACACCAAGAAGAAAAAGCCAGCACCCACTGAATGGTGAGGAAAAGGGTTTAAGAGCATCTCCTCCCCGTGCGGCGCCGCCAGCCGCCTCCCTGCCGGGGAGCCCGCGGCCTGCAGGGAGCCCGAGCCGCGGCCACCAGTTCCCCAAGGTTCCCTTAGGCACACACCGCGGCCCAAGTCAGTCATTCTGTTTCTGCCTGCTGTCCACGTTGCCGTAGGCGGAGCCCTTGTCGATTTCCGTCACGCCAATCATCCATCGGACGCCCATGGAAGCTGCAGAGGTGGGAAGAGCAGGGTGAGGACAGTCCAAGAGCCCCGGAAGCCGGCTGGCTGCAGGTAGCCCGCATCAGCGGAGCGCCGATGGGTCCTGGGTGCTGGCTCATGACCCCAGCTTGACAGTCACCCCAGGCCTGGACATCTACGTGGGCCTGGGTTCCAGCACCGCTCGGGGGCAGCCGCTCCTGATGGCAGGGCCCACATGAAGCTGGAATGCAGGAACTCCAGCTCAGAGGTTGCAGAGGAAGGCCCTCCCTCCCGGGAGGCAGACTTGGGGCACTCTCCCGGGGCCAAGACCACGCCTCCACGTGCGAGCACCGGACCCAGGGCTGACGGGAACGGATACGCCTGGACTCCGGTGCACGAGCCTGGGGGTCTGCAAGCTGCCTGTGCAGCCGCCACGTGGGTCATTTACAAAGGGGCGGCTTCTGCTCGGGGCCGGCTCTCGGGGGACCCGACTCAGAAGGCCCCTGCTGCACTATCAGCCATGGAAATGAGACTTGGAGGGTGCAGGAGCAAGAGCAGTGTGCACACTGCCGTGCGAGGCCTGGGGGGGGAGCGGCGATGCACCCAGCGCCCAGGCACCACCACTGGGGCCCAGGCTCGAGGCTGAGGAGGCACTGGCCAACGGGGCCAGATCGTGAGACTCCCGCAATCCCTGGGGGGTGGCTTTGGCCAGGGCTCTCGCTGTTACGTGCAAATTGGCTCCAGAAATGCCCCAGTAGCCAGGGTGGAGTCCGGCCCAGGCCCAGGGCCCCTCACGGCCACTGAGGGTGGGTGTCCTCGTCTCCGAGCCCACTTACCCACAAAGAAGACGAGGAGGAAGCTGGCCAGTGTCAGGGACGAGCCGCTGCTGACCGTGTTGACCACGAACTGGAAGAAGGGGTAGAGCAGCAGGGAGGCCCAGAAGAGCCAGTTGATGATGGCCCAGGGCCGCCGCGGGGGCACCCGGGGCGTCTCTGGGAAGATGCCGGTCCTGTGGTATTCCTCCTGAAAGGCGTCCTGGGACAGAGAGAGGAGGGGACCCTCAGATGCCAGCAGCGCCCCCGCCACTCCTACCCCGAGTACCTGCACGGGACGTGTGGAGAGGACAGGAGTGCCTGCCTCGGGCAGCCTGGGTCAGCTCGGAGCTGACGTGGGGCAGGAGTCTGGTCTCTGAGCCCCGGCTCCTGCTCTGTCTAAATGGGCAGCCGTGCCTTCCAGGAGAGGTTGCTGGGAGAAAGGCCCAGGCCAGGCCCTGGAGAACTGGAGGGACCTGACCCGTGGTGAGGTGCTCCATCACCCCCTCTTTCCTGCCTCGGGATCTGTGACTGCTATGGCTACCGGGGTGGCCAGAGAGGCGACCGGGTTCATTGTGGCCTCGCTCATGGGAGCAGCTTCTCCGTAGGTCCCCCCAACTTGGAACCAAACAGCTGAACCCCCAGAGCACTGAGGTCCCCAGGTGGCTGGCAGAAAACCCACTCCAGGCCCAGCATCCGGCTCAGTGCCACGCACAGGCGAGACTGACGTGTCTCTCCCCTAAGTCTCTGATGCAATGGGACCCCCAGTTCAGACACGAAGCGGGGTTCAGCCTCTGGTTGCCCCGGGAGCAGGGCAGGTGACGTGAGGGAGGGAAGCAGGAGGACCCAGGTTGCGGAAGAGGAGCTGGGGGCGGAGACTGGCACCCCAACAGTGCAGGCTCTGAGGCTGAGCCCTAGGGAGCAAGTTGGAGCCACCCAGCCACAGGCCACCAATCCAACACCTGCGGGAACATCACGGGGCCAGCAGTGGCCACAGAGTCAGCCCCAGCTGGCAACCCTGAACTGGCCTAGAAACGTCCCAGTCTGCTAAGGAGTCAAGTTCTCTGGAAAAAGCCAAGACCTGAGATGCGCGGCTTTGCCCTCTAACTTGACTGGAGAAGTCTCAGTGTGCTGCCCGCCCGTTCTCTCCCAGTCCGGGAGTAGTGAGCACCACACTGCTCTTCTGACCTCTCAGAATCCTCGTTAGCCCACTACCGGACAGTCCTGGAGAGGCCACAGACGTCACTCACTGTGGCTACTCCAGTCAAGCAATCATGGGACAATTGACAGGGTCAAGACAGGGAGGGGTAACGGGAGTAGTGACTGGACGGAGCGTGTGGACGTGCACCTGAGGGCTCATTCGCCTCCCTGCAGAACTGGTGGTGGCCAGTCCCTTCCCACGTGGTACTATGAGGTGGGCGGGCACTGAGGGCGTGGCTTCCATCTCGTGGCCAGGACACGCGTGCCGATCTGTGCCATTCCCAGGGGTCAGCAGGTCAGCTTCTCATCAACTCTGAAGATTTGCTTTCTCTGCTTTGTCCGGAAAACACGCCCCTCCCTTCTCACTAGTGACGTAACTGCGGGGGGAACTCCTGCCGACCCTGGGGGCGGGGTCCCGTCCCCAGCAATAGCAGGTGCATGTGTTAACTCGGTTCCCCTTACTGCACAGCACAGCGGACTTCAGAACACCCGTGGAAAATGGAACTGAGAGATGTTAATTCTCATGCAAAAAACATGCAACTCGATGTAGAACTGTTTAATGATGAACTTCCTGGAGACGCCTCGTAAAGTCTGCCTGCGCGGGAAGGACGATTCAGGGGGCTTCTGGCTTCATTCTGTGTGTTGTTGTCATGCAGCATGGTCCAGGTGGCCCGGGAGATGTGGTCACAGAGAGACGGGGAGCTGCTGTGTTCCCAGGAAGAGGCTTCGGCCCACAGGCCCCAAGGACGGGCAGAGTCCCTGCGGGAGTGGACATCACGGACGCAGGGGCCGGTGCACCTGCGGGGCTTCTCCCACTGCGCAGGCAGAGGAAACACTCGGACTGCAGAATGCAAAGTTACGCCCTGTTCGGTCCAAAAAGGTGGTTCTGGGGTGACAGGTGCATCCTGGGAGCTGCCATGGCCCCGAAGGCGGCTGTGGGACGGCGTGACATCTCCAAGCCCACGGGCAGCCCCTGTGTGCCGCCAAGCCGGAAGTGCGAGCATGCCTCATGAAGAAGTGTGTTCAACCCGACTCAGGGGGGGCAGATCTGTGGGTTTCTCTGTGTCACATCCACACTCGGACTGAAGACAGGGCCCGCACAGCCCAGGTGCAAGGCTGCCCTGAACTCCCAGGTCGGGGTCGGCGGGCTCGCCTCTGCACAAAGTCATTTGCAGGAAGAGCTGCTGAGCACAGTGGCCCAGGAAATCCCAGGAGCGCCTCAGAAAGCAGCGTGACACCGGGACAGGTCCAGGGAGCAGGCTGTCCCGGGGGGCCACTCCCACTCCACCCTGCAAGGGAGAGGCCAGCTTCATGGGCTCCCGGGCGGTGGCTGCGGCCCCATGGTGCCTGGCTGAGCTGCAGACTGTCCCATCACTCTGAGCCCAGGTCTCCCATGTGTAGCATAAGGGCCGCCATGCTCATCTGCAGAGAGCAAACCGTCCCCAGAGGCCACGCCTGAGCGCAGGAGGGGAAAGCCGCTCCCCAGGCGGGGGCCTCGTTACCACCTGTTTGCTGGTGTGGCTCCTCAGGGAAGGGTTCGTTCCAGAAGCCTTTGGAGCGCTTTTCTTTTGGCTGAAAATGCATTTTTTAATACCGACCCTGTGATGGAGCCAGAGAACAGAGCAAGGAAGACGCTGCCCGCTGCGTGCAAGCCGGGGGAGGAATTCACTCGGCGTTTGGCTGTGGGGGCCACAGCACCTCACTGACCCGGAATCTCGTGGGCCAAAAGCTTCCGGCTCCTGCATCAGACACCGCCTGCCCTGGGAGCAGCTTCCCGGAGGACACGGCGGATGGAAGAGCGTCAGGACCGTGCGTCCGCGAACTGCGTGTCTCTGGGGCTGAGGGTTGGACCCACGTCCTGGCAGGTGCTCAGGAGCAGGGCCGAGCCTGGCCAGGGCTCAGGGGGGCCTCTCAGGCTTCCCTCCAAGGCCAGAGGCAGTGGACACCGCCCAGGAATGCGCGGCCAGGACCTGGTAGCTGCGGCACCCACACTAGTGTCAGGGTTTCTGTGAAGCCCCCTTAGGAACCAGCCTTGCCGCAACCTCCTCCCTGTTAGGGAGTGAACCCTCCAGGATCACGCCCAGCGGGCTGTGCGGTGTCAGGCTGCCACGCCCGGTGGGCCGGAGGCCACAGAACACTGACCTTCTCCTGGTAGAGCTTGTGGAGCCAGGCCGAGCACTGGTCCTCGTCTTCCGGGATCTCTGCCATGGGGATCCGCCTGCAACACAGAGCGGCTGGCAATGAGGCGGTGCCGGCGCCCCGCGCACACCCACCTGCACAGCACCGGTGCTCGCCACACTGCCGCGTGGGGGCCGAGCGTAACAGGGTGGACAGGACGAGGCCAGCGTGGGTGACACAGCGCTCCCCATCTCCCCACCCCCCTCCCGAGGGGCCCCCAGCTTCCACGCGGGACCCATGCTGAGGGGGGACCTGCTAGGAATCACCTGGGCAGGTAACAAGTTTGCAGCGACAGCAGAGCCTCGGCCAGCACTGAGGCTGGCCTTCTGCCACATGTGGGGCGTGTACAGGGACCCCTGCAGCCCTCTGTCCCCCCATGCGGTGTCACACAGCCCGCCCTGGGCAAAGGCAGGAGCCCCCATGCCTGGCTTCCCTTTGTCCCCAGGCTGCTGGCTCCGGACGTCCAGGAACGTTCATCCCATCACAGCGCCATGGTCTGTGACAAGGAGCACCAGGACCTCATCTCGGGGGCCACGCTGGGTCCCTGCGCCAGGACGCTGGCCTCGCCTTCAGGGCCAGCAGGCACAAAGGTACGACTTTCACACAACAGACCCGCCCCGTGAGCGCCTCTGCCGATGCTTCTCCTCTCGTGACCCCCACCCCCGGGCACTGCCACACGGGGCTCTGCCGTGGGCTGCAGGCCGTGGGCAGCATTGCTCTGCGGGGACAGTGGCCGCCGCGCCGCTCCCGGGAGCCTGTCCGGTGCGGGACTCTGCCTGCGCCTCAGACGTTTGCAGGGAGGGTTTACTGAGAGGCTGGGCCTGGCTTTCACAGTTTGTGCACAGTCAACCTGTTACTCCCACGCGCTTCTGAAGGGCCCGCACACACAGACGAGGTGGGACGTGGGCCGAGCGGCCTGGCCGGGGCCCGGCTTCAGTGGGTGAACTTGGCGGTGTAGTTTCCCCACAGATGAGGGACAAAAAAAGTTCACGGAGAAGGAATCTCAAAGGTTTGCTGTATGCAGATTCTGAAATGCACGCAAAATGCCTGTTGCCAAAAATCTGCGTGGATTTCAAATTGTTTTGTATCAAAGTAACTTTCCTTTCCGTTGTTTTTATGTGAACCTTTTAAATCCCCTAGAATGCTCCAGAGAGAAATGGCACCCGGCTGGGGCTTTCCCCAAATCCCCAGAGCCCAGCCGGCCCCAGGCCAGCTCCTGCCCAGGGCCCAAGGGACTCGGCGGCACAAAGGCACTCTGTCCCGGGCGAGGTCACCTTTGAGAAGGTGGGGGCTGCCCCACCCTCCCAGGCCCGAAACCTGAGCAGTAAGGCAGACTGCCAACTGCATGTCAGACAGCAGGGCGGGGGGCCACGGTGGCTGAGACACCACTGGACTCGGGCGTCCCACAGCGGAGGGCCTGGCTCGGGTCCCAGCGCTGCCACCTGCCAATGCGCCAGAGAGGCAGCGAGTGACGCTCCGGCGAGCTGGGTCCCTGCCACCCCCAGGGAAGACCCAGGGTGGGATCCTGGCTTTGGGGTTGGCACAGCCCAGCCGCGGTTGCAGGCATCTGAAGGGTGGACCGCAGGGTGGCAGAGCTCTGTGTCTGCCTGTCTCTACCTTTCAGATTTAAAGAGACAGCAGTAATGATGATGCTTCTGTTCTGCACGGAGAGCCGGGGCTGTTTCCAGGTAGGAAGCGATGTAACCCAGGCTACGGAAACTCCTCCCAGAGAGGTCTCGCTCTCTTTTTTTTTTTTTTTTTTTAATAGGCAGAGTGGATAGTGAGAGAGAGAGAGAGAGAGAGAAAGGTCTTCCTTTTTGCCGTTGGTTCACTCTCCAATGGCTGCACCGCGCTGATCCGAAGGCAGGAGCCAGGTGCTTCTCCTGTTCTCCCATGGGGTGCAGGGCCCAAGCACTTGGGCCATCCTCCACTGCACTCCCGGGCCACAGCAGAGAGCTGGCCTGGAAGAGGGGCAACCGGGACAGAATCCGGCGCCCCAACCGGGACTAGAACCCGGTGTGCCGGCGCCGCTAGGTGGAGGATTAGCCTATTAAGCTGCGGCGCCGGCCACCAGAGAGGTCTCTTATGGGAGTGGTCAGCCGCCAACTGCCCTGTGCTGTAACTTGGCAGCTGTAAGCAAAGAGTTGTAAACTACTTGGCGAGCTGCCCAATGGGCGTCTCAGCCTCCTGCTTAGCCCCAGAGACGGTGACCTCCCCCGACCTGGCAGGCTGGCTGTCCACTGTGGGCCACACCCACAGCCTCTTGCTGCTGGCTCCCACCAGTCATGGGGCCATTCTGCGGTGGATGGACAGATGAAGGGAGTTTCTCACAGATGTGCTTTCTGATTTTCTTTTTGAAGAGTTAGGGAGAGGGAGGGACGGATCTTCCATCCTCTGGTTCACTTGCCAAATGCCCACAAGGGCTGGGACGGGGCCAGGGCGGAGCCAGGAACTCCATCCAGGTCGCCCATTGGGGTGCAGGAGCCCAAGCACTTGGGTCATCTTCCACTGCTTTCCCAGGTGCATTAGCAGGGAGCTGGACTGGAAGTGGGGCAGCCGGGACCTGAACTGGCGCCCATATGGGATGCTGGTATTGCAGGCAGCGGATTTACCCGCTTCGCCACAGCCCCTGTCCTAAGGTCTTGGTTTCACTAACATTGTTAATAGCCTACAACGTAACACGCAGGCAAGGTACCACAGAGATCGTCTCCATCCCCTTGTAGCCACAGCCACTGTCTGTGTGCATTTCTACGCAGCAGGCCCATCTTCCAAGATCATCCCTGCATTCTCCACCTCAAAACCACTGATTGGCCGGCGCCGCGGCTCACTAGGCTAATCCTCCGCCTTGCAGCGCCGGCACACCGGGTTCTAGTCCCGGTCGGGGCGCCGGATTCTGTCCCGGTTGCCCCTCTTCCAGGCCAGCTCTCTGCTGTGGCCAGGGAGTGCAGTGGAGGATGGCCCAAGTGCTTGGGCCCTGCACCCCATGGGAGACCAGGAGAAGCACCTGGCTCCTGCCATCGGATCAGCGCGGTGCGCAGGCTGCAGCGGCCATCGGAGGGTGAACCAATGGCAAAGGAGGACCTTTCTCTCTGTCTCTCTCACTGTCCACTCTGCCTGTCAAAAAATAAATAAATAAATAAATAAAAAATAAAAAAAAAAAACACTGATTATAAAATGCTGTTGTCCTTGATCCAGTCCGAGCTCTGTGATAAGAATGAGCTGGTGCCAGAGGGTCAGGACGCAGCTGGGAGGAAAGCAGGCTGTGCCAGGCCGTCTCCGAGCCCACAACGCCACCACGGACCGTAACAGGGCGCAAGCAGGCACAGGTGGCTCGGGAAGACGGTCTCCAGGTCACCTGTGGGTTCTTTCCTCTGAGTGGGCGGTGTCTTTTCCGGAAGGGAACGGAGCCGACTCACCTCACGTAGAAATCTGCGTGATATTTCTTTCCATTTAGGACTCCCAGCAGGGTTGGGTTCTCGTTATTTCTGAAATTGAGTGTACAGTCATATACAGCTGAAACTACAAAAATAAAACAAACACAAAGCAGTATATAGCGTGTGAACCCACTTCTGTTTAGCAGACACACATTGGAAGACAACGATCAAATCACACGCTGGGTATCTGTGTGTGGCAGGGTGCAGGGCCCTTGTCCAGGGTCCAGGTGCTCCACACGGAACACCTGCTGTCTGTTACCAGAAACCCCCACCGCAGCTCGGTTATGGAGAATGGCCCTTAGAGGGTCTGGCCGCAGTGCTGGCAGGGGCGGAGCCGGATGCACGAGGAAAATGACTTGCAACTTAGTAACATGCAGAACATCGCCCTCTCAGGGCAGCCAAGCCGGCAGGTGCACAACCGGTGCCGGCAGTAAGAGTAGTTCAAGGCACGCTCCCCAGGAACGTGGCCACGTACAAATGGTGTAGCTATTCCAGTATTTCTGTTCCCTAAGGACTGGAAACTCCTCGGGGGACCGAGTTATGTTGCAATCTTCGTGGTTCTGCTCGGCAGTAAGACCACCTGTCAGCGGTACTCAGGGACCCAGGGCCTGGCTCACGCACCAAGGACAGAAAAACGTGTGATACCGAGTGTGGGGAGGCCCTGGTAGGAACCAGTGGCCGCTGCGTCCAGGAGTGCAGGGAGTTTGGGGGCTCCCAAGTGCCAGTCCAGAGCCACCTGTTCCTGGTGAGGGGCCTTTTCTGGTACAACCTCAGCCCTCTTGACCCAGTGACGGGAGAGTGGGCAATGCAGGAGGGGCTGTGACCACTGGGCACAGACTCGGGGCTGGCCAGCGCCCCAGCCTCCAGGAGGCCCGGGCAGAGGAGGAGCTGGGAGGGCGGCCCTGCCATGGCCATGGGTGCTGCAGGCCCAGGAAGCCACCGAGACTCCAGAAGCGACCTCCTTCCTCTACTCCCACGGATTGCACCACCGAAAACTCAAGGATTGTCTTGTCCCAGAGATGGGGGGGGGGGGGGGGGGCGGTGGCAGGGTGCTGCTCCAGGGGACAGCAGTCAGGAAGCAGCGTGGGGAGAGTGCGGGTGACAAGACACCCGCTGGGGCTGTGCTGCCGCACAGGGGTGGAGCCGCTGCTCTCGACACCTGCTTCCCACGTGGGTGTGCCAGCCCAGGTCCCCGCTGCTCCACTTCCAATCCAGCTCCCTGCTAACACGCCCGAGAGGGCCCAAGTCCCAGCACCACTGCCACCCATGCGGGTGACTCGGACGAAGTTCCTGGCTCCTGGCTCCTGGCTCAGCCTGGGCTGCTGCGGTCACCTGGGGAGTGAACCAGCAGATGGAAGGACCCCCCCAACCCCCCGCAATCTTTCAGGTAAACTCTAAGGGAAGCAGCAGCAGCCAGCTGAGCATCCTGGTTGGACCCCGCGGCCCGCACTGGAGCAGGGCCGGGCTCTTCAGTGGTGCGCAGTGCAAATCATGCCAGGGCCAGGCCAGGAGTGCTGACCTGGGTCATGAGCCACAGCTGGGCGGCTCCACAAGTCGACAGGGCACTTGGCACTTCTCGGAGGCCCACTAGAGGTCCAAGGCCAAGTGGGGCTGGGGTCCCTGGCGATCCTGCCATAAGGTGGACATCGCCACACAGGGTGGCTCACGTGGGGCAACCCCTGCACCCCAATATAGCCCCTGGGAGTCTGGGTGCCATCCTGGCATAAAGCCCGGGTTGCCAGCAGGGCAGGACCAGAAACCACAGATGCCCAGGCTCTGGCCATGAGCCCGGCCCTCCCTCGGCTGGCCTGGTGCACAGGGCACATCCCTGGGCTGTCCTCAGGTTTGGAGCTGTGTGCAGGCCTCGGCCACCAGGTGGCACCAGGGAGGGGGCTGTAAGGGAGCATCAAGCCTGGGGTTTTCTAACCCAAGGCGAAAGGCCAGACGCAGATGGGATTCTGTCTTCCTCATCTTACAGTGGTGGGCAAGGGCTTACATCTTACAGGCAAGGGCTCCTCATCTGCAGGCAGCTGACGGGCAATCGACGCCAAACAAAAACCCCAAACCTCAAAACAAACCCAAGGGGCGACCTGGGGTCTGCCAGGTGAGCCCAGGTGAGCATGCAGTGAGCCTGCAGTACCAGCACCGAGCAGCAGAGGGCGGTGTGCGCTCAGACACCAGGCGGCAGTGCCAACCAGGAGTGCCAGGTGGGCTCTGAAGCCCCTGAAACCAATGCACGGCCACTCCAGTTTGTGGCCAGGTAGGCAGCACTGCCGGGGAATGCTCTGATGATCAGAGGGCACTGGGCCTGCTTTCCTGCTGGAGCGAGGGCCTGCGGACACTGTGTTCGCTTACCTACGTCTCTCAGACACCTCACGGTCACGGCGAAGCCCTTGGTGCGGGGCAGCAGGTGATGCTTGAGGCTGGGCAGCCCCTTGGCCCGGGCCACCTGCATGCTGATCTGGTGCTTCTTCTCCGTGAACCGCGTGCCCTCACAGTGGATCAGGAACTGCAAGGGAGGGCACAGTCACCGGGGGCCAGGGCCACGCCCGGCCTCCCACCACAGCATGCAGCCATGCATGGCTATAGTCACACACACAGGGCCTCGGTCACACACACACCACGCAGAGCCATGCACAGCTACAGTCACACACACACACACACACACACATAGCCTCACACATCACACAGACCCATGCATGGCTATACTCTCTCTCTCTCTCACACACACACACACACACACACACACAAACAGGGCCATGCACGGCCTCAGTCACACGAGGCTCCCAGCCACAGATGCGCGGTGGCCTCACCACCCTGTGGTCAGTGCCCACCCCACGGCCACGGCAGGCCACTGGACGTCAGGTGCGGCCACCCCACGGCCACAGTGGGCCACAGGACATCAGGTGCGGCCACCCCACGGCCACAGTGGGCCACTGGACGTCAGGTGCGGCCACCCCACGGCCAGTGCGGGCCACAGGACGTCAGGTGCGGCCACCCCACGGCCAGTGCGGGCCACAAGACGTCAGGTGCGGCCACCCCACGGCCATGATGGGCCACAAGACGTCAGGTGCGGCCACCCCACGGCCACGGCGGGCCACAGGACGTCAGGTGCGGCCACCCCCGGCCCACGCACGAGGTACTTCTCAGGGTAGTCGCGGAGGTGCAGCAGGCTGGTGGCCACAGTCTTGCGGTCCTGCTCCCACTTGCGCGAGCAGAAGATCATCTCCGTGAAGTACCACATCCAGCCGACGATGGGCACGTACGCCAGCTCCTTCTTGGCCAGCACCTTGGAGTTCTGAAACGGCAGGGCCCAGGGCGTCGGTGAGCCCGGGGGTCGTCTCCCACGGCTGCTGAGCTCAGGGGCGAAGAAGGGGTGTGTTCTCACCAGGGGGGCTTCGGAGGAAAGTTCTGGAACATGGCAAGAGCAAGGCATGGTCCTGGGGCCCTCCCCCCATGTCAGCCAGAGGCCAAGGCCGTCCCACAGCCAGGCGGGGACTTGGGGGAGGCAGCAGGCTCCCAGCGGAGCCCCCCCTGGCCGCGAGGGTTTCTAGGTCACCTCCTCATTTGGGCCCCTGAGCCCCGGCCCCCTCTCGGTGACAGGTGTGCAGCCCTTCCAGGCTGACCTCACTTGGCTCCCAGCCAGCGAGGCAGACGGGGATGGCGCCTGGCCAGGTTCTCAGCCCCAGGCAGGTGAAGGAGCTGGCCACAGTCCCAGACCCGGGGGCGGGGGCGTGCTCTGGCTGTGCCCAGCCGGACAGCTCCCAAGCTGGAAACGGCGTGCGTGGCCGCCACAGCTGGCCCAAGGCTGGCTCTGGGTACGCGCACTTGACCCACTGCAGGCTGGACTGCTGTGGGGACTCTGCTGAGGCCCACGTCCCACTTTGCACCCAGTGGAGTTGGCTCCCGTATCTGCTGCCCAGGAACGCCTCCAAGGCCCTCCCTCCTCCTCCCTCCTCCCCTCCCTTCCCCAAGGCCCTCCCTCCTCCTCCCTCCTCCCCTCCCTTCCCCAAGGCCCTCCCTCCCCTCCCTTCCCCAGGGCCCTCTCTCCTCCCCTCTCCTCCCCTACCTCCTCCCCTCCCTTCCCCAAGGCCCTCCCTCCCCTCCCTCCCCCCCTCCTCTCCCTTCCCCAAGGCCCTCCCTCCCCTCCCTCCTTCCCTCCCTCCCTCCTCCTCTCCCTTCCCCAAGGCCCCCTCTCCTCCTCCCTCCTCCCCTACCTCCTCCTCTCCCTTCCCCAAGGCCCTCCCTCCTCCTCTCCCTTCCTCAGCATCCTCCCTCCTCCCCTCCCTCCTCCTCTCCCTCCTCCTCTCCCTCCCCAAGGCCCTCTCTCCTCCTCTCCCTCCTCCTCTCCCTTCCCCAAGGCTCTCCCTCCCCTCCCTCCTCCTCTCCCTTCCCCAAGGCCCTCTCTCCTCTCTCTCCCTCCCCGCCACGACGGCCGAGGTACAGCCCAGCATGGGAACAATAGGCCACGTGCCCCCTGCACAGGGCCAGGCGCCCCAGCCACCTGCGGCCTTCCTCTGAGAGACGGCAGACTTCCCCAGGCTGAGAGCGCACAGGCCCCTTTCGAAGCTGGGGTTTGTTTTTCAACTGGCCTCTAACTCCCGAGAACCGTGTGAATTCTCTGTCAATTCCAAACCAGCAGGACTAGGCACCCAGCTATACAGACGACCGAGCTCAGACGTGAAGTGACCGTCCCGGAATCCCGTGGCCTGCGGCTCAGAGCCGGGAAGGAGAATTCAGGCCCAGTGTCCGCGTGAGGCTGAAGCCTGGGCCGCCCCCACACCGAGCCACGTTCGTCAGTCTCCTTTTGTCCCTAGGCTGATGTGCCCTGGGTCCTGAGTGCCAGAGCCCTGCCCGTGTCGCCCGCTGGTCACCGGCTCCAGGGCGAGGGGCAAGAGTGGGCAGTAAGATGGCCAGGTCTGTGGAGGGCTGCGTGGGGTGGGGTGGGGGGTCTTGGGGAGGGTTCTGCTCCCTGATAGAGCGTCTTCCTGCCTCCAGCACCTGGCTGTGATGTCAGGGCACAGCAGAGGGGCGGGGCCACAGGGCTGCTGCCCCCGGACAGGATTCACTAAGCTCTGATTCTCCTGGACTCTCCCGGGCCCATCAGAGCGGCCTGCGCAGGTGGCAGCGGCTTGAGAGAGGACATACAAGACAAGACGCCAGTTCCACCAATCCCTTGGAAGGTAAACCTGACGGGATTTACCACGAGGGCAGACGTCCCAACGGATCCACCTGCATACAAGTGCGTCTAGCAGACACAGCATGGGCACAGGCACAGCAGGCCACAAGGGGGCGCAGGTGTGCTACATGTCCCTCAGGACATCAGACCCTACACAGGTCAAAGTTTACTGAACTCTCTGAATGTGTGTGTGTGTGTTTGGGGGGGTGCAGAGCCCCATCTTTCCACAGAGGCCCACTCCGTCCATGGTCAGGATCAACTCATACCAACAGCCAGGCCCAGGAGCCTGGAGGTCAGCTCGGGCAGTCCCCTGGGTGACCCCGGTGCAGGCGTGAGCCACTGAGGGAAGGAGCTGCCTCAGAGAAGCCCCGGGGCGTGGCGGCTGTCACCTCTCCTCTCCCCGCTGGGCTCCCCGGCCTCGGAGAGGGCCCTGCTAGGGACGGCTGCCCACCCTGAGACGTGCACATGACGGGACGGCAGGCGCGCGGGCACCCTGGCCTGTGGTGCACCTGTGACGCCTCCCCTCCTGGAAGCGCCCCTGGGAACCCGCAGAGGTGGCGATCAGGGCTGGGCCGGGCACACAGGCCACGCCAGCGCCCTGCACGGCGAGCAGGGCCACGCTCCCTGGTTCTCAGACCCAGCGCTGCTCCCGCAGGTGCCTCGGTCAGCCGAGGTCACCCAGGTCGTTTATTCCCACCAAATACATAACGGGGCACCTCAAGTGGGATTCAGAAAACAGCAAGACTGAAGGGTCTACACACACTTCTCCTTGACTACAAGCTGTGTCTGTGTGTGTGTGTGTGTGAGTGTCTCTGTGAGGGTCTGTGTCCGTCTGTACCTCTGTGTTAGGGTGTGTGTGTATCTGTATGGGTGAGTATGTATATGCATATGTGTATCTGTGTGTCTATGTACGTATGTGTCTATATGCATGGGTGTGGCTCATGGCTATGTGTGTGTCTGTTACGTTGTCTGTGCCTGTGTATCTGCCTATCTGTATGTCAATGTGTGTGTGTCTTTGGGTGTATGTGTATAATGTGTCTATATGCATGTGTGTGCCTGCATGCCTGTGTGTATATAAGTGTGTGGCTCATGGCTTTGTATGTGTGTGTGTCTGTGTTATGTTGTCTGTGCCTGTGTGTCTATCTGTGTGTGTCTTTGGGTGTTTGTGTACATGAATGTGTCTATATGTGTGCGTGTCTGTAATCTTTGGGCCTATTTGCGTCTGTGTGTATGTTGTCTATGTGTGTGTGTCGCTGGGACTATGTGCCTATGTACAAGTGTGTGTGTGTGTGTGCTCTGTGGGACTATGTGTGTCTTTGCATATGTACAAGTGTGTGTCTGTATGTTGTTTATGTGTGTGTGCCTATCTATGAATGTCTGTGTGTGTGTGTGTCTCTTTGGGCCTATGTGTGTCTGCATATGAACAACTGTGTGTCTGTATGTTGTCTATGCGTGTGTGCCTGAGTGTCCCTGTGTGTGCCCATCGAAGGTGAGAGACAACATCTGTGCCAGGGAGGGTGAGCGAATGTGAGCCAGCCCTGTGCATGCTGTGGTCTCTCGCTCTCTGCTTCCCAGACGAGGACCGCCAACACTGGCTCCTGTCCTGGTGCCCGGCGCCCTGGAGCAGGAGGTGTCTGCTAAACAGTCGCAAGAAGCAAAGGCCAACCCAAGCCCGAGGCAGGTGGCTGTGAGAAAGAGCAGGTCAGCAGTGGGGCGGGGCAGCATGGCCTGGGGCAGAGCCAAGGGTGTGAAGGGGCTGCAGGCAGCTCCCTGGCAAGCGCCACTCTAAGCCAGCCCGGTGTCACCAGCAGTCAGCGTGGGCAGACCAGTGTCCTTGGCACACCCCACTTGGGACTTCGCTTTCAATACCAAGTGCACGCTGGTGTTTCCAGGACAACGCTCGGGGATGAACGCAGGTGCCGCTGTGCGTCTGGGAGCTGCCTGCTTCGTTCCCCGGCTACCTGCATGTCACCGCTCCCCTGGGTCCCTTCTGTGTGTGTGCCAGATCCCAGCAAGCCTGGCACAGTGGGTGACGTCACGGACAGAAGTCCCTGGCGCTCAGGGCACAGGGGCAGAACCAGCAGCCAGAGCCCCAGAGAACCCTGGGTGGGGCTGGCAGGGGCGGGGCGGGGAGGGCGTTTCCCACACACTCGGGTGATGCCAGCATTGGCAGGGGTGTACACCACCCACCAGAGCCGACAGCACCAGGGCTGCGGCTGTGCCTGTCACGAGAGACCTCCCCCGAGAGCAGTCGGCCAGCAGGTGTGGGTGAAGAAACCGGGGCAGGCAGGCATCTAGCCATGCCTGCCGCTGCCTGACAGTGGGGGGCTCTCCCAGATCCTACCTGCTCTGTCCCGGGTGCTGAAGCAGGTGAGCCCTTCCTGCCACCACCTCCTCACAGCAGTGGATGAAGGGGGACACAGGCCAAGAAAGCAGGGCTCACGGCACCCCACCTGGTGCTGGGCACTGCACCTGGGCTCCCAAACACTTCAAAAGGGGGAAGATCTACTGAGCTTCAGAACACCCCCCCCCCCCCAGCCATAAATGCAGGAGCCAGCGTCAGGTGCACAGGGCTGGGACTGAGCCCAGCTGTCTCTGCCTGCACGAGCCGTCTCCCTGCCACCTTAGCAGCTGTCATGGAGCCGCAGGGAGAAACCGACCGACTCGTGCCCGGGGATTCCAGTGCACAGAACACACAGACGTGCCTCCCAGTGTCTCCCCTTTGTTGTTCAGTTGTGGAAACGCGGGAAGCCTACAATCTGAGGGCTGGTTATCACCCAGGGGGCCTGCCGGAAGTAACAGTCCTGCAGCCTTTGCAGACAGATCTGTGTTGTCCTGCAGAGAAATTCCAGCTGGAAAAGTGATCCTCCTATGGTCCAGCTCTGAGACTCGCAGGTTTCACACGTGTGCCATCTCGCTCAGCAAGAACCACGCTTCCCTGCCCCGGGAAACCAGAGCTCTGGCCGCCGGGCCTCAGTGCCCGTGTCGGCTTCTCAGTGAGCTTCCAGAGTTTTCTGACACCTGGGTGGCTGTTTCGCTGGGAGCTGTGCAGGCTGCCCCTTGGCTGTGCTGGCGCCAGCCCTTGTGACTGATCTGGCTCAGCAGGTCCAACGTCATCCCACAGTGACCTTGAGACACAGACACGGGGCCGGCAGAGAAAGGAGGACTTGGGTGTGCCCAGCCATGCCCCGGCAGGGACCTCAGCCACCGGGCAGACCGTCACTGAGTAGGCACGTCATTCACCACCTCCCGGCTTCCCACCCCTCTCCCTAGCCTCATAACTACCCCTCCCCCAGCCCTCTCGTGCCCTCCTAGTTTGTTCCAAGGTCACTGCCTTCAGCAAGGCTTCGCTGTCCCCGGGGGCTGACAGCCAGCGGGCAGGTGAGCAATGAGGAAATGCACCTGCTGAGAACAGGTTCAAGTTCCTCCCCAAGGGTGGTCCATGACAGTCCCAAACCAGCACCCTCTTCCCCGGCCACCTACCACTCCCCCACTGCGTCCTCCCCAGCACACGAGGGGTTCACGCCCGGTCAGGTGGCCTCAGGGCGCTGCTTCCTGTCTGATCGAGGGGTGCTCACTGGGTGTCACCCTGGCCGGCCACACCCTGCTGGCCTGAGGGGAGATGCCCATGTGTACTTGGGCCTCGCAGGGGTGTGCGTGTCCCCCTGTGACCTCTCTTCCCACACGACGCTGTCCCCAAAGACGGGTTCTGTATCTCTGAGCCCATAGTGCCCCGTGCCGCGTGCAGGAAACACACACACGGAACCTTCACAGGGGCCGCGTCTAGCACACGTGCCAGTGGCTGGGGGAGGGCAGGCCAGGCATCGTACCCACCCCGCTCGCTCTATTCTCTCTCTGAAGAACTGCAGTCTGTTTCAGGCCGCGCAGCTTCGGCTCCCCTCAATGCCTTGCACAAGTGGGAAGAGCGGCCACGGCTCCCGGCCCCCGGGGAGCCACCTCGCCTACCCGGGTGTGGCTGGGCTCACGGGCTCCCTTCTAAGACGGAGCAAGCTGGGTGCCCGAGCCGCGACGCCTGTCCTGGGAGCGCTCGCGCTCTCTCTGGGCCGCCATGGATACCCCATCCCGATGAGGACCTGCAAAACAGCCCCCTGAAGCTTGACACCCACCCTGCCAGAAGTCTCCCCGCCGGTAACCCCAGAAATGTGACCGCGCGCATCTTTTACTGAGACAAAAACTAGCAGTGGGGACCTGAGGGCTCCGTAACCTCAACTCCTGGTCTGCACTTCTGGAAGATTCTGCCATCAGCCGCCCCTGGGCCCCGTGCCCCCTGTCTAAGCCGGGTCTGCCCTCCAGGCCCGGGGCCCTCTCCCACTGTCACTTCCCCTCCATGCGCACGCAGGTTTCCCTTTCCCCCAGCTCTGCCTGCCTCCCCCTGCCTACTCACGCTGCTCCTCTAGGCTTCTGTGTGGTCCCTGCCTTGTCGGTTCCTGCGGCCCCATTCCACCAAGGAGTGACCTCCGCCTTCCCCGAGCCCTGTGCACAGCTCGAGCCAGGAGGATACCAGAGGCCCCGCCCCGTCGGCAGCTGGTCCTGTGCCCTCAGGAGCGCAGCCAGGCCTGTCCCTGTCCCTGTCACCGCTCTCCAGGCCACCCAGCTCCCCTCCCAGCCCCACCTGTGGGGGAGGAGCAACAGCACAGGGATCAGCCTCAGTCAGTCCTGGAGCAAACCACGTGGCCAAACCGAGCTCTGGGAGCTCATCTGTACGCCACGAGTGACGGCACCATGACGAGCAAGAGCACGACAGGTGTGCGGCACACAGAGCCAGCAGGACCGAACAGGGAGTGGAAAGGGCCCCAGAATGCAGCAGGCACTGCCCTGCCCCACACAAAACACCCCAGCTGCCTAGAAACTGCCCCTGGAGCGGTGCAGGCGAGCCCAGGCCCAGTGTGGGACGGCTGCTGTCCTGCTGCTCCTGGCAAAGGCTCCGGGTGCCCTCCCTTCTGCGAGCTGAGCTGTCCCTGACCAGCGGGATCTGTGACAGACAGGGCTGGGGGCGGAGCCATCTCTAAACCACAGGACTGCGACCTAGCTCCCGCCCAGGACTCTCAGAGGCCCATACGGGAAGTTCTGCTTTGGTTCCTAACCAGGGACTTGAACAGGTGCACGCGCGCGCGCACACACACACACACATGTACATGCCAAGTGTCAACAGGAAAAGAGAGGCACTCCAGCCGGCTGGCTCCGCCCCCTGCCCACCTCCTCTCTCCTCCACGGCCAACCCTCCCGGTTCTCCAGGCCAGGAATTTGCCTTCCGGGCTACGAGACCAAGAGTGACGTGAGCAGTGCCCCTGTCCGTCTCCGAGCGCTGGCCACACACGCCCTGCATGGAAAAGCCGGGACTTCCCGCCTGCCACACTGGAGCCCCGTGAGCCCGCTCGGCCGCTGCACACCCCCTCGTGTTCAACACCACAGACATCAGCCGAGGGACCCAGATCTAAGGGTCTGCAAGCTGCGTGCGAGAAGTCAAACTCCCAGGGGAAAAACGTAACTCCCTGAGAATCCCTCAACCCTCGTGCTTAGGGGACCCCACGTGCTCGGGCCTACAGCGAGGAAAACCCGGAGGCGAGTTCTGCCCGAGGCCAAGGAAACAGGAGCGCACAGTAAAGAATACAGACAGGAGGTACAACCAAACCCAGTCACCGCCGCGCGGTCCCGAGCAGAGCATGTAAACTACGCAACGTCTTTAAGGTGGGTGCTCTTCCTCTGACTCAGAAAGGTTCCTTTGAGGATGGAGTGAGGGCATCGCATGCAGAACGCCGGGCGTGCAGTAACCGCTGCACCCCTTCCGGCTCCCGAGAAGACACCCACCCCAACGCCAGCCTAGACTGAAGAGCATCGCCTCCCGCGGAACCTGCCTGTTGATTCCTCTGGAAATTCCCAGTGGTCACGCGCGAAGGGGAGGCCGTGCTGCCCAGCTGGGGGCACGCCCGAGGCCGGGGGGACGCACGCCCCACTTACCCCCAAGATCCCAAAGCGCTCGGCCAGGCTCCAGCCACAGAGGAAGTCGATCTCGAACTTGTGGTTCAGAACCACGATGGCGTTCTCCTTTCCGTACAGGGGGTAGGCCTGCGGGTCGGTGTAGATGGTACACTCCGTGCCGGACCACCACTCCAGCAACATCACCAGCTCTGCAACACAGAAACGCGCACAGATGTTCAGCCCGCACGTCCTCCGGCCCCGCCCCCCACTCCCCACCGGCGGGGCCGTTCCTGAACCCCGTCAGCGCACACTTGGGCTCCTGGAAGGCCTTAGGGGGAGCAGGAAAAGCGAGAGGACTCCCAGGATTCCCTAGGGTCTGCATCGTGGATTAAGCTCCGTGGGGAAATCAATCGGGAAGCCCGGGGCCCGTGGAGGATCCGCACCTGTGTCACAGAGCTCTGACAGGCAGCACGGGTTTGTGACACACTGGGACACTCAGACTCCACCCACGGACGCCAAGACCCGACTGTCCCTTCCCACGTAGGACCTTCGAGGCCTCCGGGAGGCGTGGAGAACAGCCCAGGGCTTTTCCCAGGCGGTGATGATGAACCCAAGTGTCCTCCCAGCGCCTGGACTCCGGGAGGCCAGCCCCCAGTCGGGTCACTCACAGGGCAATCAATGCCTGCACGTCAGAAGTTGTGCAGAAAAACAGCTGAACGAGGGGGTGACTGTGTAGCACCCTGAAATGATTTTAAAGCTGAAGGCGGTGGGCAGGTGGGTGGTGGGCAGGTGGGTGTGGGTCCTCCCCAAAGGCCATGCCCCTGTCTTGTCATCGGGCAGTGGGAAGCGCCCTTTGCACAGGTCTCACACACACACACACACCACCCCACATGCACACAGAGGCAAGGGATCTGACCTTGAGGTCAGCCCAGCCTCATGTTGGCCCGAGTGGCTGCTCCTGGAACTTCCTGAAGGCTGGAGGCAGGAAACCCCAGAATGCTCTGGAAAACCCCCAGAATGTTCTAGAAAGCACACAATCTAGTTACTAAGCAGTGAGCATGTTAACCTCATGACGCCTCGGTGTCACCAGGCTTGGTGGCAACACAAATACCCACCACACTGGGCGCACTCGGAGCGTGGCTTGCACACAGCACCCAGGAAGTGGGAGCCATGGGGTCCACGAAACACTAGCAAGAGCCCAGAAGTGAGGAATAAAAAGCGGCTGCCTGCTTCTGGGAGCTGACGAGACACAGGGCCCTCCGCGTCATCCCATGGGCAAGGGTGGGACTAGAAGTGATGAGTCAGCAAAGGTCAGGGCTCAGGGTGGGCAGGAGGACAGAGGGACTGAGTTAGTGATGCCCCAGGACAGCTGGGATTCCCTCAAGGGGCCAGGATGACCAGGAGCACAGGGGAGCGGCCAGCACGGCCCCATGGGAAGCTGGGGGGACAAAGCTGTCACCGTGCCACTCCGTGTGGGCCACACGGCCGAATGCCCAGTCCTCCCGCCCCCACACACCACGTTGCCTGGCACCCTTCACAGCCATGTCACAGCCTCTGACCGCAGGCCATGGCACCAGAAAGCAAGGACCATCTGGCCTGGCTCACCCTAACCGCAGTGCCAGCCAGCGCCCGGCACCTCGCTGCTTTCGGCTGGCCTGTGATTCTCTCCGTGTGCGAGCACGCTGGGCGGCGCCACGGATGAGCACTGGACCCGCAGACCGGACCCCTGCCTCCCACGCTCACTGCCTATGGGGAAGGCGGCTCAGCAGCCAGGACTGCGTGACAAGAGGGGGGCTGAACACCACGCCCACGCCAGGCTCCAGTCCTGGTGCTGTCACTTAGCGGTCCTGACACTGAGCATGTTTGAGTCTGGTGTCCTAGCTGGTAACAGAAGGAAGGTCAACGGTGCCAGAGCTGCTGTGGGTGGGAAGATTCCGTATTCCAAGCACGTGGCGTAAAGCTGTGCATGGCAGGTCAACAGATAGCCATCTTCTTACGACTGTTACATGCATGTGCGTCTCACGGCTGTCGTGTGCATGGAGATCCTTATGTCTGTTACATGCATGTGAGTCTTATGTTACACACATGATGAGTCTTATGTCTGTTACATGCATGTGAGTCTTATGTCTGTTACATGCATGAGTTTTATGTCTGTCACATGCACGTGAGTCTTATGGCTGTTACATGCATGATGAGCATGTTACATGCCTGTTACATGTATGTGAGTCTTATGGCTGTTACATACACATGAGTCTCATGTCTGTTACATGCACGGTGATCCTTATGACTGTTACATGCATGCTGAGTGTTATGTCTGTTACACGCATGGTGAGTCTTATGGCTGTTGTATGCGTGGTGATTCTTACGACTGTTACATGCAAGGTGATGGCACACAAGGCTATGGCCACTGAAGGCAGACGGACAGGGAGAGACGGGCAGAGCACACAGTGTAGACTTCTTGATCAGGATTAGGATTCATGGTTTCGTTCAAAAGACAAGAAGCCATGGGAGCCTTTTTAAACAGGCACACACCGGATGCAACGTGTGTTTTGCAAAACCACCCTGACCCCAGCGGGAACAGACTGGAACAGGGATGGAGAGGAGGGAGGCCAGCTTGGAAGTGGCTGCAGCTGCCAGCCGGAGGGGACGGCGGCCGCCACGCAAACGCCAGGTCTCACTGGTGCAAGAGGTTTGTCCCCCCCGCCACCACAGTTCTGTTTTTTTGGTGAAGAGCTTCACTGTTTTTAAGGACACAGAGCCCAGGCACAGACAGAGGGAAACACAAACCCCTCAGCGGCTCTGAAACGCGTCCGCTAGGCCAGCACTGCCACAGGGCGGCAGGGGGACAGCGCCACCGTGGAGGTCACACTCGCGGCGGATCTGCCAACCCACGGCTCCGGCGCCACGCCTGGGTCACCGCTCCTCCTCCTCCCCGGACCCTCCACTAGCGTCCTCACCCCCAGGCCAGGTGCTTCTGTCCAGCTCTGTGACCAGGGCCCAGCTTCCGCACGGCGCCCACACCAGCCGTGACCCAGGACAGACTGCAGCCCGTTCTCGGGGGGCGGAGCTCATACTTGGGGTTCCAGCCTCTTGCTCCCCCCCCCCACTTCACGTCCACTGCCCCTTCCTGCCTGCGCTCCCTGGGACCAGTCCCACATGGGTGCACACTGGGCTGCACTGGGCGGTCCCAGTGAACCCCACTGAGACACTCCCTCTTCACCCCCTGCCCCCCCCACCTGCCCCCTTCCCAAAGGTTAACCAGCATGAACAACGTAGAACCAACTCTTCCTGCCTTGCCCCTATGCATCGGCCACACACGCATGTACACACACATGTGCAGACACACACACGTGCACACACGTGCTTCCCTCTGCAGATGGGCTCATCCTTTGCTGATGTCTGTCAACCACACAGTGTATTCTAGATCTTTCTCTGCGCAGATGTAGACGGTGACGTTAGCGAGCACTTACAGAGCTCTGGTCACCTGCTGCTTTCCACGTGGCTTGTATCACACTCCTGGGGGCTGTGAGGCACCACTCTGAACCCCGCGTTAAAGGGGAAGACAAGAAATCCAGGAGGATTGCTCGTTCTCGGCTCAATGTATGAAGCTGCCATTTTCTAGGTCAAAAGCAGCCGGCATGGCGATCCCGTGGAGTCTGACGTAACAGACGCACAGCAGTGACGATGCGGACGGCCCGTGCTTTGTTTACCAGTTCTGCTACCGACTGGCAATTTCCCCCTTGTTTTTTCATGGCTACAAACAATACCCAAAGACATCTTTGAAAATGAATGGTTTTGAAAATATTTGTGCAAGGCCGGCACCGCAGCTCAATAGGTTAATCCTCCGCCTGCAGCGCTGGCACACGGGGTTCTAGTCCCGGTGAGGGCACAGGATTCTGTCCCAGTTGCCCCTCTTCCACGCCAGCTCTCTGCTGTGGCCGAGGAATGCAGGGGAGGATGGCCCAAGTGCTTGGGCCCTGCACCCCATGGGAGACCAGGAGAAGCACCTGGCTCCTGGCTTCGGATCAGCGCGGTGCACTGGCCGCAGCGCACCGGCCATGGCGGCCATTGGAGGGTGAACCAACGGCAAAGGAAGACCTTTCTCTCTGTCTCTCTCTCTCACTGTCCACTCTGCCTGTTAACAAATCAAACTAAAACCCTAGCTGCTTAAATTCTCAGACTAAAAAAAATTTGTGCAAGCATTTCCGCAATGCAAATACACCAGAAAGCAGGCGTACGGATTACGGTCTTGAATCCACAGTGGACGAGGGGTCCCTCTGCTGCTCCCTGGGCTAACCCTGCCAACTCCTCCAACACACGTCCCCGCAGAGCCTCTCCCACTCACATGGCCACGGCCCCGTGGCCTGGCCACCTTGTGTTCCATTTCCGTGTCCCCATGTGCAGCGCACAGAGGGTGCCGGGACGCATCGGCCCATAGCACGTGCCTTACTGAGTTGGCTGCTCCTCTGGAAGCCGGGCAACAATGACAAGGTCCTCCACAGCACGTCCGGCTGCACCCCCCTCCCCATGTGCGCCACCTCCGCTGTTGGCCACAGCCTTGCTCAACAGCGCCCCCTCTGGTACCCAACGGCCGCTTGGAGCTGCCCCCTCTGAGATGGGCCACTTGTCAGTCAAGCCAATGCCATGCCTCCAGCGCCAGGGCTCTGCACCTGCTGAGGGCCCGGGGGCACACGTGATGCCTGGGGTCCTGCAGGGCTGTGCCAGCTCCCCCAGTGCTCACACACACTCAGCCATTCCTGCCCGCTCTCCCGTAGGCCAAGGGGGGCAGATCGTGAATTACTCCGATTCTGTCTCTCTGCGCTCTCTCTCTTTGGCAATGGTGGCACCATTTGCTTTCTAAGGACTCATTCTTTGGCACCTCTATTGAACTCAGAAAGTCACCGACAGGCACCCGAGCCGGGGGCCCAGGAGGGAGCAGAGCCTCCTATTGTCCAGTTAGGTCAAGAGTTTCAGGCTGCAGTCCGGCCCACGGCATCGCAGTGCCAGGAGCCGGCAGTAAACGCGACCAGCGCCAGTCCCTCCGAAGCAAAGATCTGGCCTTTGGGAAGCACTTGCCTTCCTCTCTGGTGTCCAAGCGAACACACACTGAACAGCAGGAGAAGCAGCTGAGGCTTTTATCCACAAGAACCGGAGCGTTTGGTTGAACAGTCACTTAGAAGACAGTAATGCTGGGAACTGAAAAATGCAG